GCACTGCCCGGCTGCCCCAGATCGCGCGGCTGGACAGCGGTGAGTCCCGGCCAGGGCACAGGGCAGGCGGGCAAGGACCGCGGGCTCGGCGCGGGTGTGCGCGCTTGTGTTTGGAAGGGTGGGACCTGGTGGGCAGTGGGCTGCCCGCCCCAGCTCTGGACTTGGCCCGCGCGGCTGCCGCAGGCCCCGCGCGGCGCGGCCCGCGCGGCTGCCGCAGCCCTGGCGCGTCGCTCTCAACTCCCCCCAGCAGCAGCCAGAGAGGTGGAAATCAGAGCCCTTGCAGTATAATTAAAAAGGACGCCTTGAAAAAATCAACATAGGGGAAACCTCTGCAGATAGTAATCTTGGACGCAAGCTGTACCTTCCCAACCCGCCTGCAAAAATTTCTCATCCTGGGAAATCTTGAAGAGTTATCTTAGGCAACTTTCTTAGGAAAATAATTGTGCTCTGGGTGGCATCTTATTTGGGGCGATCTCTTCCCAACCCCCACTCCCCACCCCTAGCCAAGAAGCAGCCGATTTAAGAAGAAAAAGCTCCTAGGTGACCAGTGAAAGGGATCACATTTCCCAGAGACCTTTTATTACAGCTTGTCTGTTTTGTTTAACCCAACTGAAAGTAATTTAAGGCTGTGTGTAGAAAATGTTTTTAGCAGAAGTGATGGTATGCCTACGGTTAATTATTAGCTTAGAGCATTTCCAGCCTGGAAAAAAAAAGTCACCAAAACATATATTTATTTGGAACCTGAGCTCACAACTAAGAAACGCCTGTGTTTCCTGAAATTGACCACCAGAAGCCAACCAAACCTCTCCCTACTGTTTGTTCTGCAGTGTGACATCTGCAAACAGACCGATGTGCTTACAGTCCAGCAAGTAGACACCTCTCAGTTTGGGAGTTGTGGCACAGGGAGGCAATTTAGGTGTGTTTTGTCTTCTCCTGTTTTTACAGTAACTTCAGTAGGTTTTGGCTTCATGAGATTTCAGCCTCTTTGTAAAAAGAAGCCTGCCCTGTTGTGGGGTATCTGGAAACGCCCAGGTTGAGGCTGGCAGATTCATAGGCCAAGTCAGAATGGCAGTGAGCAGACAGGTATCATTTCATCATAAGTACTTGGGTTACTCTTTGATTTGTGAGGTAAAAGAGTGTGTCACAGGAGATGTGTAAATGCCCAAGGAAATTCTTCCCCCCCCCCCCATTTCTTGTCTGTGGGGTTAGGTCAGACATTTGAAGCACTGGTATGGAAAATAAACACAGGAAAGTTCAGGAAGGCTAGAAAACTGTCGTGGCATGCTGCTATCCTTTGGTTAGTGCTGTGGGGGTGATCCTAGGAACCAACTAGAAGAGTTTAGAAGGGGAATGAAGTGCAGATGATGATGGCTGTTGAATCCAGGCAAGGACAGGTGGTGTGTGGAGGCCTTTCTGCCTTGACAAAGTGTTTTCAACATGCATCTGCACACTCAAATCTGTGTGTGTATGTGTGTATTCAGTGTTTCATTTCCTCCTCACTGTGCAAAATTGTGTGTATCGGGAGGCTGTGAGTCTTCACCTTTTCCAGCATTCTGTCATCTCTGTACACTCTGCCAAAACTTCTTCGTTAGGCAGAGAGCATTGGTACATGTGGTGTAAAAGTCACTGAAAAGCTTCATTAAGCTGAAAGTTTAAAGAGGCTGAATATCAGCTTCAGACATAACTTAGTTTTATTACCCACTTTCCTATCCTGCCATTCATAAAGAGGATCTGAATCAGCAGTGTACTCATCCCACACTGCTTTTTAAAACTAGGACGTGGGTTGCAAGTCTTAACACTGTGTCCTTTCAACCCTTGGAATGAATTTTGATTGCTATGTATAATTCCAATTCTTTATTGTGAATTTCTTATCATATTGCTGCCTACGAATTACAGTGGGATACACAAGTTTGGAATCATAGCCAAATAACACTTTATACCTTGCTTCTTTTACTAAACAATCTCACCTCATTTAAATGTTTTTAACATGATGTTTAAGAAAGAGCTGCATAATATTTCATTAGATGGCTATACCATGTAATCTAATCCACTATTGTGGACTTTAGATTGCTACATTTTTGGCCATCACACGCTGTTTTATAATGAACACTTGTACATAAGCCTGTTTGTTTTGGTCATAATATATTCTTACCTTGCTGAATAAGCTTGTGAATCCTTTTTAAAAGTCTTTGATACATATTGTCAAATTGCTTTAGAGACTACAGTTTATACTCATTTAGACTAATATGATCATTGTGAAAGTACCTCTCTACGCATACCCTTAAAATATTGTTTCTCTATTTTATTTTTTTTTTTAGATTTTGCTGATTTGATAAGGGAACACATCTTGGCAGTTTCATTTGGCTACCCTTTAAAACAGTCATAGATTCTGTGCTTATTTTTAAACATGTTTCACAGCACTGTTTAAAACAAGTTGAGGACATGCTCACGTAGTTATTAATGCCATAGGTGACATCTCAAGTTTCGCTCAGTCCTCATCCTGTATGAGTCTTTTTTGGGCCAGTTTTAGTATGCAGGTACATTTTACACATGCACACACCCACCTTATACTTAGATATGAAAGGTAGTCATTTTCCACATCACTTGCTTTAAAAGAGACTCGGAAGAAATTGAGAAGCGTGCTACCAGTTGACAGCACACCACGAGGAGACCATTGGCTAATTGTCAGCAGTCATCACTGTTGATTGTGGAGTCTAGTATGTGCTGGTGCATTTCTAGGTGCTTGGTGTGTGTTGTCTCAAATCTTCAGTAACCCCATGTGAAGGACTTTGGAAACCTGAGGTTCAGAAATTGAGTGACTTACCTGAAGACCCATACCTGATAAATGGTGGAGTGGGATTCCCAGCCAGCTCAGGCTGAAGACAGGCCTCTTATCGCAGGCTGTGCTCCCTCCTCATACTAAAAGGGAGTAGGTTTGGAGAGGGCTTGACGTCTGCTCTAAATGGCCTTACTGTCTCTCTGAGAGCTTGAGGATTGAAAAGTCAATATTTTAAAAACAGTGTAGACACCAAATTTGTTAAGTGTTGGCTTCATCCATCATATTTAGATGACTTTCTATTTCTCAAAGGATTTGCAGGAAAGAGGCAAAAAGCTGAGAGGAAGAATATTTACAGAAATGGAGAAAGGAGGAAAAAGGTGAAGTTTAGGGGTTTAGGGCCTGCATATGAGTCTGTTGAGAGACCTCCTCAATGATACGTTTGCTATACTTAACATGTTAACTACACCATATGTAAAGAATGCTCCAATTCCTTGCATTATACATGTTACTCCTGAAATGTCAGGTAGATAGATGCTCTCAGTATTATATACTCAATGGTGAAATTTATCCTTATGTGGTAAAATAAATATAAAATTAGTGAGTATGGATGTTGACTCATGAGTCTTTCTGGAGAAACCAATGAGAAGTATTCTCACAGTTGTTCTTGGGAGATTTGATGACATACGTGTCATCAGCCAATGTCTAACCCCAGTCAGCAATGTGGTTAAGGTCAGATATTTAAAGTGATCATCAATGCTGTAAATTATAGGATGAAGAACCAAGTTCAACAAATGTGTTAAGGACCAAGAAAAAAACAGGAACACTAATCCCCACTCTGCCTCCAACCATCCTCACTCAAAACTGGGTGTGTGGGAAGTTGTTCATTTTCTCTCTCATTATTTCATTATGGAAAGCCCTCAAAGCTTGGTCGAAAACCATTGTTCCTTCAATGTTTTTGCTCTTGTACCTCCAAAAAGATTCAGTGAATTCTTGTACCCTGAGCATATTTTTAAGTTAATTGCTAAAAGTTTACGTCCTAATTTAAGTAGTTGCAAAGAACGTAATTTTCAGCATATTGTAAATAGTGACATTTTAAATTAAATTGCTATCTTAAAAAACCCTAGTAGAATCTATATTTAATAGATTTTTAAAATACATGAATAAGTTCTCAATAGTTAAAAATTTTACATCTTTTATCTCCTTAAATTCATGCTCTTTATTTCCCTTTATGAAGTTTTATTCCAATGTAGTATATTTTATACTTGAAAGTGTTCTATTGATCACACTCTCATACTTCATGTGAAAATAAAATGTTTATAAATTGAAATCCAGTGTTTTCTTTCTTTTGACCATAAAACTTTTCATTTTAAAGATTTCTGGTTTGTTTTTAATTTATTTTTTTGTTTGTTTTTGTTTCATTTTTTAGGTTTTTGCCATTGAGCATATCTCTTAACCAGAGAAAGACAGAGAGGGAAAGTGAGAAATCACCCCCTGAGGGATGACCATGCCACAGTCCTTTCTTTTCCATTCTCCTCTTGGGGTTTTGGGCAAACATGTGTATATACCTTGAGTGTTTTTCAGGCCACCATGTGAGGGATTTGAACCATGGATTTTACCAGGTGGGATGCAGCACCTCAACCACCACAACACCTGCTAGCTCTGATTCCTGGTTGCTTTTTAAAACAAAAATTGCAAATTACCTGACTTACAAAATTTGCTACCCAAAGATTGGAGACTCTCAGTCCTCAACTTCCAGCAATGATTTCATTCATTACTCTCTTCAATCCCCTGAGGTCTTTGCACCCTGGGACAATGCATCATAGAAAGATGTGGGGATGCTGGGACCAGCAGGTGGCATGGTGGTTAAGGGCACTGGACTCCCACATGGCCGACTGCAGTTCGAATTCTGGACCTGGTGCTTGCTTTCTCACTTTCCCTCTCTTTCTCATACCCTGTCCCTCTCTGGTCAAATTAAAATAAATAAATAGTAAATAAATAAAATAAAGTTAAATAAAATAATTCTTAAAAAAAAGATGGGGGAAACTAATGCATATATATTGCTTCTGCACAGTACATGCACGACCATTATGAAGGGGAGGTAGTGAAAGACAACATCCATCCAGAACCGATGTCTCTCCATCACAGTCGTGATCCAGGCAGATCAGATCATAGTCACGAGCACATTTGAAAGTTGGGATTTCGGAAACTGAGTCTCTTACAGACCTGATAGTGAACCCCTTAGGAAGTATGGAAGTGTTGT